GGGATCCGAACCCTCGGACGGGAGCGCCGCCGCGCTTCCCAAGCGGCGCACTATCCAGTGCGCCACCGGGCCGGCCCTGTTCACTTGTCTTAACAAGTTCAAGGAATTGGTGTGATTGCTGTGTCTTCTTACCCCCTCCCCCGTTTGTTTGTTTGTTTGTTTATAGCTCCCACAAATAAGTGAGAACATGCAGTACTTCTCTTTCTGTCTCTGGCTTATTTCACTTAATATAATTTTCTGTAAGTCCATCCATGTTGCTGCGAATGGTAGTATTTCATTTTTTTTAATAGCAGAGTAGTATTCCATTGTATAGATATACCACAGTTTCCTTAAGCACTCATCTAATGATGGATATCAAAAGGGTTTTTAAATCTGTGAATCCTGGAGAAAGCTCTATAGCTCTGCACTTACATCTCAGGGGTAAAGGGGCAGGCTTGAAGATGGTCTGGGACCTTGCCTGCCTCCCACTTGGAGCCACTCCACCTGTATCTGTTTCATGTATTTGTGTTTCTATGTAATATTAGATAAAGGGTTCTACTAGTAAAAAATACTTGAAATTCAAGTCCTGAGGAAAGGGGTCATCATTAAACTGATTACAGTTAATTATCAATGTCCAGAAATACTAGATATTTATAGCTACTATTTGAAAGAATATCACAAAAACAGCTTTTAATTTACTAATACTTAGAAAGTTATGTCCAAAGCATGAACCCAAAGTTGGAATTAAATGAAAAGCAATACTCAATACCTTAAAAGATCTTTTAAAGCCTCTTGTGTTTTGATGGTTTCCTTCAACTCCAAATGGCTTGTGAGTAATGATGTCTTTTTTCTGCATAGTATAATTCTTCATGAAAAGAAAGTATTGGCATGGATTAATATACTCTAAAGCTTATTTTAAAAGCTTGTTTTACCATTTAAAAAACGTGTTTTAAATGTATAGGATTAAGAACACAAAGCAGGGAGCAGGGATGTTAGCTGTAGGAACACACACATCTCCTTCCTTCACATGACCCAGTTTGTGAGGGGCCAGTTTCCTTCATCCCTATGAAAAGTGTAAAAAAAACCCAAAAAACAAAAAAAGCCTCTTGTATAACACAATGGGTGACTTTTAGAAAATGGTCTATAAATCTAGCATTTATTCAGGCATCCAGGAAAGAAAAAAACCCATTACTATCAGGAGTTGTTGAAGGGTTCCAACAGCCTAAGAAGAACACAAATCCTCAACACTGCAGTAAGCATGTTTTGCTATCTCAGACAACTGATTTGAGGTGATGCTCCTGCCATGGCTAGGAAATTATAAGAACTGAGAAAGAACTACATTGCTAGTCTGTAACCAAAAAGAATCCAAATCCTCTGTTGGGAACAGAAAAGATGGGACCCATTCTTGAGACAGTGTCTTTTTTCTAAAATCAACAGTCTTGTAATCTTCTACTATTCCATTTTCTGTGGAGGCTGGCCACAAGGAGGACTGCACTAGACAGCTGCTGACATGGCTCCCGGTGATGCCCGCCTTCTATGTAATCGCCTCCCTTTGAGTGTGGGCAGGACCTAGTAACTAGCTTCTTCCAAAAAGAATATGGTAAAGTGATGGGATGTTACTTCTGAGATTAGGTTACAAGCGGACTCTGGCTTCCATCTTTCTGGTCATCACTTGTTCACTTTTATGGAAGCCAGCTGCCATTTTGTGAGCTGCCCTATGAAAAGACAGATCTTTAGAAACAGAAAGTAGATTAGTGGTTGGCTGGGGGTGGGAACAGGGAATAGCTAAACAGGTATGAAGGCTCTTATTGGGTAATATAAATGTTCTAAAACTGGATTATAGTTATGGTTACACATATTGGTAAATTCACTAAAGAATCATAATGGTATGCCTAAAATGGGTAAATATTATGGTATGTAAATTATACTTTAACAAAGTTGTTTCAAAAAATCTTAAAGCTAGTACTATAATAAATTGAATAAAATCCTACTAAATCAGTGATGACCATTTCTTCTATCATAACTTTAAGCTTCAACAGAATCTTATAATATGTGCTTAATGAACAGTTACAAACATTATGAAAAATATTGGTGATCTCTGTACATACAGATATATTTGAGAAGGAGAATGTACAAAACTGAAAAATTTGGAACTACAATCTTACCATGTAAGGTTTCTGAATAAATTTTCTAGAATTTGATTTTATAAAATGAGCAGGTTTTTGGAATCCATCAGTATGAATATTCTTCAACTGTAAAAAACTGGAATGCTGATCATTCCTAATAAAATGAGAGAGAGAGAAAATAAGACTCTTTTATTAGTTTACCTTTATCCAACAAATAAACAAGAAAAATCAAAAAAGCCCCTTCAGAGATAGTTAAAGTAGCACAACAGTAAAATCTCAGTGATCTATCATTACTAAAATTACAAATGACAGTTATCAGGGCTAAAATCCTCATTTTTCAACAAACATTATTTAGCTAAGTTGGAAGTTAGCAATAGTGGAAAAACAGTATTCCTTGAACCAGGGTTCTCAAACCAAGGTCCAAGGACAGGCTTCCTGGGGGTGGTAGTGCCCAGAAACCATATGTGAAATGTGTGTTCTCTGAGGAAAGATAATCACTGCTCTAGAGCCTTTGGCAGCACTGTCGTCCCCCTGCCCCCCTTGCTGACAGACGCATTGGTGGAAATACCAGTGGCTCATGACCCAGCCTATTCATCGCAGGCAAGGTGTTTGAGTGGATCAGGGTCCCCTCATTGGCAGAGCTGAGGCTTCTGATACTGGTGGGCCACAGCACCAAAGGACAGGCTCCCCTCTCCTATCACTGAGAGGTCCTGAGGCCACCAAGGGCTCTTCCCAGATAGCCCTATCTAAGGGGTCCTTCCTAGGGCTTTTCCTTTGATCCCAGAAGCCTCATTTCCATAGCCCTTGGGGATTCCTTTCTTTGTGACATCCCACATCTCCCCACAATGCTCCTCAGACCCTTCCTGTGTATTCTGCGGCCCTGCCCCATGGTGAACAGACTGCTCACTACCTTGGCCCTGCTTCAGTGCCTCCTTGTGGATCCCCCACTGGCATCAGGATAAAATCCACACTTGTCATCATGCTCTTCATGCTCTGTCCATGCTGCCTTGCCAGCTGCCTCACTACCATCTCCCCAACATGCACGCTAAGCTTCAGGAATATTTAACTATAAGCAGTTCCCAGCACTCATGGCCATGTCTCCTGTTTCCACACCTTTGCACACACAGTTCCTTCTGTGGTCCATTTCCTTCCACTTAGATTAACTTCAACATTTAGCTCCATTTGTACGTTTTCCAGGAAGGCTTTCCTAAAACCCTCTGAGGGGGGCTAGGTGCCCCCTGCTATGTGCACATGTAGCATTTTTGAGTCTTAACACCTATCACTCCCTGTTTGTAACTACTTGTGTAACTGGATGGTTAATCAGACAAGCTGAGATTCCTTTACAGGAGGCACTGTGGCTGGTTCATTTTGTGACCCCAGCACCTGACATGACATAGATACTCAGGGTTTTTTGAAATGTTAAAAACCTACATGCTTGGGCCGAGCCCGTGGCGCACTTGGGAGAGTGCGGCGCTGGGAGCGCAGCAGCGCTCCCGCCGCGGGTTCAGATCCTATATAGGGATGACTGGTGCGCTCACAGCGCTCACTGGCTGAGCGCGGTGCGGCCAGTCTCAAAAAGGACAAAAAAAAAAAACAACCCATACTCTGTCAAAAATACCCATGATATGAAAGTCAAAAGAGTAGGGTGCAAAGCCATATATGGAGGATAATTTCAATTATTTAAAATACATATATGCCCAGAAAAAACTAAATGACAGGAAATATGCTAAATATTAACAGTGGTCATCTCTGACTGGTGAAATTAAGAATGCTTTATATTTTTGTTTTTATACTTTATTTTTCCAAATGATTATCTTTAACATGTACAACTACTTCCATAAACAAAATAATGGACTTTAAAAATTTCTCTTTTGCAAAGCATATATGAGGGTACTTCAAAAAGTTCGTGGAAAATGGAAGTAAAAGATAATATGAACTTTTTGAAGACCCCTCATATATAAAAAATGACTGCACCTCAACAATAAAAAGACAATAACCTGATTTTAGAATGGGTAAAGAATTTGAATAGAAATTTCTCCAAAGAAGATATACAAATGGCCAATAAGCATGTGAAAAAATGCTCCACATTAGTCATAAGGGAAATGTAAATTAAAAACAGAATGAGATACCACTTTACACCCACTAGAATGGCTATAATCAAAAAGAGGACAACACCAATGTTCATAAAAGCACTATTCACAGCAACTAAAAGATGGAAAGAACACAAATGTCCATAAACGAAAAAATGGATAAAACAATGTGGTTAAAACAATCCATGCAATGGAATATTATTCAGCCTTAAAAAGGAATTAATTTAAAAAAATAAATGAAATTCTGACACATGATAAACCTTGAAAACACTATGCTAAATGAAAGAAGCTAGGCACAAAAGGACAAATACTGTATGATTCTACTTGTATTAGGTACCTAGAATAGGCAAATTCACACAGACAAAAAGAATAGAGGTTACCAGAAGCTGGGGGTATGGAAGAATGCGGAGTTACTGTTTAATTGGTACAGAGTTTCTGTTTGCAAAGATGAAAACGTTCTGGAAATGGATAGTGGTTATGGTTGCACAACATTGTGAATATACTTAATGCCAATGAATTTTACACTTAAAAATGGTTAAAATGGTAGGATTTAAGATATGTATATTTACCACATAAAAAAGTTTTTAATCTTTTGATATTTGACTTTTGACCAGGCAAATGAATGCCCAGATTAAAGAATCTATTTCTCAGCCTCCCTGCAGCTAGGTGTGGCCATGGAACTAAATTTTAGTCAATGGTGCTGAAGTGTCATGTGTAAATTTCAGGAAGTCTTTAAAAGAATAAGGACATGATTGCTAGAGCCCAAACACCCGTCCTGGACCATGAGGTGCACGCCATGTGCAGAGGATATGGGAGGAGCAAGATTTAAGGAGCCTGGTTCCCTGATGGGTCCACCCTTCTATGCCACTCTATCATGCAGACTTCCTATCTCTAATCTTATTTTACAAGAGAAAGAAATATTTTTTCTCCAGCTCTTATAGTCCATTCTCTATCCTGAAACCAGAGTGATTCTTTTAAAATTTAAGTGACATTATGTCTCTTCTCTGGTTAGAACCAAAAATGTTTTCTAATTTCACTGAGTAAAATGCAAAATCTTCATGTCCTTCAGTCCTTTGTGATTTGGCCTCATCTACTAACTCTCTCTCTTTTCCACCATGTTGCAACCCCTATGACCCCCTTCTATTCCTTAAACAAGAGCAAGCATGCCCCTGCCTCAGGATCTCTGCGTTTGCTGTTCCCTCTCTTGAAACACTATCCCCTCAAACAACCCTGTGCCTAACTCCCTCACTTAATTCACACCCCTGCTAAATTTTTTGAAAAGCCATAAGTGTACTCCATGACCATCCTAAATAAGATCAGATCACACATATCACTCTTTCCTATTAAATTTCCTCTTCTCCTTATTTTTCACCTATCACCCACTGGCATATATTTATTTATTTTTTCTCCTGCCATTAAATTGTAAGTGCCGTGAAGGCAAGGGCTTTGTGAATAGTTGTTTACTGTATCCCCAGTGCTTAGAACAAAGAAATTAATATATAAATATTTGTTGAATATATGAATAAAAGATCCTTATAAAGTTCACTCTAGTTCAGTACAGATTATAGATTATTACAATAGAAAGAATAAAAACTGATGTTTTCCCATAACCTGCCCAGCTAAAAAGAAAGTCTTGGCAGCTTGATGTCCTCTCAAAGTCCACTGATACTATTTTTGATCTCCTTTATCATACACACTCCATACCTACATAACATAACATCTCAATTACATTGTAGGGAACTTAGTAACGCTGGTTAGAAGAGAGAGAAACAGTGTATCAGGAGGAGACATGTAGACATTAGGGTAAGAGATTGGTCAGAAGTGGGAGCAAATAGAGAACAGCAGGGTCTTAGAGACTAGACAGAATCCCCAAATGATAGACTTCCTTGTGAAAGATCCTAAGGCATCAGGGAATAGTAATCCAGATCTAAATGTATTACAATTTAAGTATTTTCTGTCCTGTCTATTCCTTGGAAAATCTTCATTCATTCGTTCAACAAATATAAACTGAATTCAAGGCAGTGGGGATACAATAGTGAGCAAACATAGCCACAGAACCTGCGTACAACTTTTCAAGGGAAAACCACACAGGTGGGAAATCAGTACATCCTATGATTTATGATTTCACTGTGTTCCATTTCTTCTGAACTTCTATGGAAACTATACACTAACTTAATTACAAAGGTTTATGTAAAAGTATAATGAGGTCACTTTTTTTTTTGGTCTTTTTCGTGACCGGTAAGGGGATTGCAACCCTTGGTGTGGTGTTGCCCGCACCACGCTCAGCTAGTGAGCGCACTGGCCAGTCCTATATAGGATCCGAACCCGCGGCAGGAGCGACACTGCGCTCCCAGAGCTGTACCCTCCCGAGTGCACCACGGGGACGGCCCGAGGTCACTTTTGATAAACTGAATATCTAAGATAAAAAGATAAAATAAAACAGTTTTCTTATTTTAGTAAGGAAATTGAATTAGGATAAAGTGAGGTATTAAAGGTTCTATATCACCTTTAAAAAAAGGCAAACAATAAGAAGTGTTGATGAGAACGTGGAGAAAATGGACCCCTCACACACTGCTGGTGGGAATATAAAATGGTGCAGCTACTTTGGAAAACAGTCTGGTGGTTCCTCAAAAAGTTAAACACAGAGTTACCATCCAACTCATCAATTCCACTCCTAAGTATATACTGAAGAGAAATGAAAACATATCTCCACACAAAAACTTGCACACAAATGTTCACAGCACCATTTACAATAGCCAAAAAGTGGAAACAACCCAAATGTACATCAACTGGTGAACAGATAAAGAAAATATGGTATTATCCATACAATGGAATATTATTCAGCCATAAAAAGAATCCCCATGCTACAACATAAGTGAACACTGAAAACATTACGCTCCATGAAAGAAATCACTCACAAAAGGCTACATATTATATGATTGCTTTTATATGAAATGTCAAGAATAGGCAAATCCATAGAGACAGAAAGTAGAATAGTGGTTGCCAGGGGCTGAGGGGAAGGCAAAATGGGGAGTGATATCTAATGGGTCAGGGTTTCCTTTTCAGGTGATGAAATGTTTTGGAATTAGATAGTGTTGATGGTTGTACAACTCTGAGAATATACTAAAAACTACTAAATTGTTTACTTTCAAAGGGTGAATTTTATGGTCAATAATATCTCAATTTTAAAAAATCCTTATGGTTCCACTATGCCACACCAACTATCCAATACAAATAAAATAATACAATAGACCCAGCAAAATACACATTATAGAAAGACATCTTTGCATGCTACAACACTGTCCTCAAAACTAACATTAATAAAAATTAACACTGACCAGCTACTCTACTCTACACTCACTCATCACTTTACTTAATCTTAACCAACACTGTGAGGTAAGTATAGTTCTTATCCCTATTTTACAGATGAGGAAACAGAAAATAACTTGCTCAATGTCAGTCACATAGCTAGGAGCCTAAGAGCCAGGTGTTGAACTCAAGTCTAACTCCAGCATTCAAGCTCTTAATCACCTCAAAGGGTAAAGATATATCCTGAAGCACTACACGGTCTTTATAATATGCTGATCATCTTAAATCTGTTTTTAAAATCCTGTTTCTTGATACTCTTGGTTTCTTACATTTGCTGAGTGGAGAAAAGCATGACAGAGAGCTTGTGTCATTAAAGAGCACAGTCATGGCATGCATTAATCATATCATATTAGGAGATTGGAGACTTTCAGCCAGCAAGGGACAAGATTTTTTACTATTTTATTTCAATTGTTTTATATACCTCAACACACAGTTTCACTATCTTTTAATTAGTCTCAAACTTATTGTCAGAATCAAGTCTAGTTTTAAACAAACTTCATATAGTTTGACTAAGATCTAGTTAGCCACAGACTTGACTTAAAAGTCTAGTCAAATATCTTAGTAATTTGAGACTAAGGATCATGGAAAAATGATTTGCACTGACCCATCCTATTCATACATTCTCACTTTCTGGGAGACCCAAATAGTGTAAGAACTCTTGAGTGAACTAAAAATTTTGTCCCATTCAATTATACCTCATACCTCATAATCAACTCAGAGTTACCATGAATTCCACATAGTTTTCAGAACTAGAGATAAACTGGAACTAATCTAGACTACTCAGATCCCCTAAAAAGAGGTACAGGATTGGGAAAGAAAAATGAGGATCTACTGACAAATCTATTTGCTATGCACGGCCTAAGTACTTCACATGTGCCAGCTCATTTAATGTTTATAACTGCCCCACATCATAAATTGGTTTTATCACCACTTTATAAATGGAGAGGCTCCAGAGGCTAAGCAGATTTGTCCAAGATCAAACAGCTTGTAACTTGGCAGAGATGAGATTCAAATTTAGGTCTCCTCTGCATTTTCTACTATACCTGCCTCTGTTTCGTGGACAGACATCCATGAAGAATCTCAAAAAAGAACTGTACTGACCTCAGGAAATTTTGTACTATGCAAAGAATACCCTAGAATCTAAAGGGAAGAATGTATCAGAGTTTCAATCAGCTCAAGCCAAATAGTCCATAAACTTGCTGATCCTGGTTCTTGCTAATATTCAAAAAGCTGTTACACTCCTCCTTGGAATTATGAAGACCTCAAATACTCACCTACCCCACAATTTTTATTATTTAAATCAAACTAAATATAATGAACACTGAATTAACTTTGACACATTGTAATAGATTTCACTTAAACGTATAAAATAGATTTGAAGGATCAAATCCCTACACTAAAATGAAAATTATCATTACACAAAAAATTGAAAAATATGCTGAAACAAAAAACTCCCTGATAACAAGATGTTTTTTATCTACTGATTACCTCTCTGCAGCACTAGCTATGTGAAAAATGTGCTCATCTTCATTCTGTAACCGTTCTTTTCTCCTTCTTTCAATGTCATGTCGTAGGTCATTTGGATCTATTATTTTGACCAGAGTCTGAGGAATTTTGACAGAAGACAAACCATTCACATTATTGTTAGTTTCACAAAGACCATATCTAACAAGAACCTTAATTAAAAGTCCTAAATAAGTTATCTTGTAACTCCTCCTGCTAACAATAGTATAAAATGATACAAATATTTTGTAACACAATTGACAATACACAGTCAAAATGTTCCTAACACTGAGCCAAGAATCCCACTTCTGGGAGTCTATCCCAAAGCAAAGGCTATATACCTAAATATATTCAAAATATTGTATTTAAAATAATAAAAAAAAGCAACTTCAGTGTGAAAAAAAATTAAAGGGGAAGGGAAGAATGATTAAATAAATTATGGTAAACTTAAAAGAATAATGCACAACCATTTAAAGTACAGTAATAAAGACTATGTGGAAGTCAACAAGGAAAAACACTGAAAAAAGTTAATTAAAACTTAAAAAGCCTCAATCACAAAAGGTCATGAGGAATTCAGAGATTTACATAAAAGGAATGTTATTATGTTATTATGTTTAAATTAAAAAAAAAGCATACAAAACTGCATATATTATGATAGCAACTATGTTAAAATGCAAAATGAAAGACTGCAAGAAAAGATGATCAAATATTTTGTGTTAAATGGTTGAATTATAGGTGACTTTAAAAATCCTCAAATTTCCTATAATTTGATTATAATACTTTGATGATCATAAATTTTCTGAAAATATCATCTATACAATAAACCTATCTCCATAAGTTCAATAAAAATTATAAACATTTCACAAGTGAAAAAAAATTATATATTTTATCAGAAATGTATTAAAATCTCCCCTCTGCAAAAACTCTTTATTCTCAATGAATAAATTAACAGTTCTTTTAGAACTTGATACATTTCTTCTAAAACAAGAGCAAGTTTTCTTCCCTGCTGGTTAGTCAGGATAGTCTTTCTAATTAGCAAAGAAACGGGAAATAGAAGGGGAGGTGTTGGGTGTGAACCACACACAACACATGACAATAAAGAAATTTAGTATTATTTCCCTTATTTTGCTAGCTCATATTCCAAAGAATCATTTGTACATTCTACAGTAAACAGAAGGACAATATCAAAGGAAACTTAGTTCCTCTGCATTTATTCCATATACAATTTAAAAATGTATTCCACATGACTGCTTTGGAAAAATAGGTATCAAACATACTTTCAGCAAACTTTACGGTGTGGAGTTTTGTAATGAATATAAACACTGCAACTTTGTGTCAGTTTTTCAAAGCTGTTATCCTTAGGGATTGTCCCTCTTAGGGAATATTTTTGTCTTTTGTCAGTATTCTTACTGCAACCTGGCCAATAATCAGAATCACTTGGAGAGCTTTTTAAATTTCAGGTTCCTGGGTCTCAATCCTCCTTCTTCATGTACTTTAACTTCCTTTTTCACTCCCAGTCACCAATCCCTTTTCCCATCAGTATACCAACAATAAGATAATCTCTCATCAAAAACTGTATTCACTTACCTGTTCTGATTCATATATCATACTTTGTTTACTCTGAAGCTCAGCCAAAGACATATCTATTCTCCTAAAATAATAAAGGCATATTACAATTAAATAATTATGTTATACACTGATACCTTGATTCTACTGCTACAGAATGGAATTTGAAACAAAGCTGGTATGTCTTAGAGAAAGCAAAAGAAACTTGCTACCAGGTGGTTTTTCATCTATATGGCAGTCTCCTGGGACATACATATCCTGTGAACAACATTACAGGGAAGCTTTAGCGGTTCTGATATCACTAGTCTGTGTAACTTCAAACTTTGCTCTGGTGATATATTGCAATCTAACGTTAATTCAGCTCAGCTCACAGGACAGGTGCCAGCAGAAGAAGACACATGTTTTTATCCGGCTGCTTTCAGAACAGCCATTTGTGACCACATGAAGCAACTCATGGTTTCAATGGCTTGACAACTGTCTTTCATTCTTCCAGTGATAACATCAGTAGGCAATTAACTATAGACAGCAGAATCAAAGTTAGGTAGGTAAATATTTTCAAAGTCCTACACATTTAAACAATGCTACTCAATGGCTTCAATGCAACCTATTCCATCAAAGTGCACTGGCCCAGTACCTGCTTGGGTTAATCCCGTTTTTATGTAGAAAATGCAATCTTAGAGTCCACGGCAAGCCCAGGTGAGCAAGCTCAGGCAGCAGCACCTTCCCAGACCTGTTTTGAGGTTTATTCCCATGAGTTAAATGCGAATACAGTAATCTATCATTACCTGTGAATTTCTGGATCTGAATTCAATTTAATTTCATTTACATCTGCATCATATGTATCTTGCATTTTTGAGAACCGCTCATGTAGAGTAACTCCAGGTGATGAAAAATAATTTGCTGAAAAAGAAAACAAACAATTTTATCTCAATATAAAACTGATTCCACTTAAAAGATTATATATAAGTACAGGAAGATGGGACTATTTAAAAAAAAAAAAAAAAAAAAAACCCAACCTGTTTTCTCTTGAAAATATGTGGGACAAACAATTTCACCAACTAATTTGTAGTGCTCACATGCTTTCCGAAGCAAGAGTAAAAACACCTGATTAATGAATCCAAGGATTTTCTTCCTATCTGACATGCCTGCTTACTTGTCCAGCAGAAAAGATAGTGGCTCTCTCAAAGCGAAGACCCTTCTTGTCTAAGGTAAGACCTTACTATATCTGGGAAATAAAGATGGCACAGAGCTCTACAGTTCAAAAACAACTCTGGAAACAACCATGAAACATCAAAACAATTCTGAACAAATATTATGTTTCTGCTAAATATTATGTTTACATATCACAGAAGACCTTCTAATGCCATCTTACTTTAATTAACATTAACTGAAGTTCATGAAAACATTCCAAAATCAGGTAAGCTATAAGCTTTTTTAATATGACAGAGAGAAAGAGAATACACATGACCCATCAGAATGCTACTTGAGTAATCCTTTCCCTAACTTACTGTTCCTATTCTGGGACAATCTCCTGGATTTTTCTGTCCCCCTTTCTGCCAAGAATCACACTTCCTTTGGGTGACAGAGGCTGAAGCTAAGACGGTGAACTGTTTCAGACAAATGATTGGTTTAAAGTAAATATATGCCTTAGTTTGAGGGGCACAGAGATAATAATTCATTTTCAATTTTTTTTTTTTTTTGTCCTTTTTGAGACCGGCCGCACTGCACTCAGCCAGTGAGCGCTGTGAGCGCACCGGTCATCCCTATATAGGATCTGAACCCGCGGCGTGAGCGCTGATGCGCTCCCAGCGCCGCACTCTCCCGAGTACGCCACGGGCTCAGCCCCATTTTTAAATTTTTAAATGAAGGAACAAAAGATTAATGTAATTGTCTAGTAAGAAGTACAAAATAAAAATTTTGAAATTCTTGAAGGCCTCCAGTTTATAATACCCACAATTGCCTTATTTATGCAGCATTACTGGGAAAAGCTGTTCTACATCATTGAATTTTCTAATTAATGGAAATTTGCCAGAAGCAAAAACAAAACAATTTAATACAAATCTTTAAAGTATTTATCACGCAACTCCCTGATGTCATAAAGAATACCAAAGCAAACTGGAATCTTTCATTGATCACTTAGCATCGTCCTTATGGCACAAAGTCCTAGTAATGCCCTCCTGGGACTTTAAATATCACAGAATGAAACAGACTTCTGGATTTCTTGAGTTTCCTATCTGTTTTTTGTTGCTTTTTTGCCCATTTTAGGCTATCAGTTATTGTTTCTTGCTGCTGTCAGCATGACTGTCTTTTGTAGCAGCCAACCTTTCCAACTTGTGATTTCTAATCTACTAATGGTTGAAGTATAAGGTTATTAGTACTACATATAAAGAACAAGGAGGCTTGAATGAAAGCTTGATACTCTCTCCAACAGACTTCCTAATTCATGATCTCACAATAAAATACTAATTATTATTAAACTATATTACAGGTATTTACCTGTATCTTACGAAAAATCAGTACGTTATTTTTGTAATCCCTAACATATGTGCAAAATATACCAACCTTTAACTTGATGGATTATTGTTATGATTTCCTGAGCAAATTCTTCTGTAGGTTTGCTTTCAGTATTCTGAGTTGACTCAAGATGTTCAAACACTGGATGAAAATTCTCACTTTTCCTGCCAACAGCAACCAAATCATGTGACATCTGTCTCTCTGTGGAATAGTTAGAAGCAACCCTAGAATAATTTGCAAATGTTTAACTAAATTTGAAACTACTTTGCTGAGAAAAAAACTTATTAAAATTTAAGATAGCTATAAAACTAAGCAGATATTTATCTTTTCTTATAATTGAGGCATCAAATTATATGCCATAAAACATGTACAAGTATAAGAAAAAAGATATAGATACATGGTTTTGAGCTCTTTCAAATCAGAGATCCTTAAATATTTGCCACTTTAATAATAATAAAATCCTCAAAATTCTAAGTGAAACAATTTTTACTTAAAAAATAAAAGGCATTAAAGATGCTTAATATGAAAAAAATAATCAGTTGGATTTTCTACTCCCAAATGGCTAAAACGTTGTAAATCCAGCAAGATTATACTATTTTGAAATACTACCACACTTTAAATGCTGATATCAATCATAAGAACCTCTCCAACTTCATAAAAATCATTATACCTATATATCTGTAACAAGAAGTTTAGAATAGTATTTTGAAATCAAATTCTGTGAAGAGGTTAATTTAAAGTTTCACCAAACTCTCAGAAAACAGTCCTCATTGTTAACAAAGTTATGATCATCAACACCAGTTAAAGTGTTCACCCTGAATGTACCCCAGCTACCTTACCACTTTAATGCCTTCTGAATATTTATAACTTTTGTTAAGCACTCTCCTGACCTCTAAGTACTACATATTAAAAAGTGATTATTATATATAGCTAACAATTACTGAGGGGTCTTAGAGCTTACCAACATTACCCCATTTAACCTTTGCAATAGCCCTATGGGGAAGGTGCCATGGCACTGAGACAATGGATGTCTTGGTTGTTTTGTTTTACATCCCAGAGGTTGAGCATTCAAATCAACAACAGTCTTCCAAGTGTCATAATGGGAAACTATACCTTATTTCAAGAATGCTGCTCTTCCTTAGAACTACTCTTTTAATTCTTTGTCTGGAGGAAATTTTTGCATCACAGAAGTAAATGTCTCACTATTTTATATTTATACCTCATTTTGATCCCCAAATGGCACTAATCAGCTTGCACTCATCTTATTCCTCTGTACTTGACTCAAAATTTTGTTTTTGGTTCTCCCCCCAAATCATGTTCATTGTCCAAAGAACTGAGACACAACTGCTGGAGTTCTTTATGAGTATGTTACAGGCTCTGAAGATAAATCCAAAAGAGAGCCCTGGTAAATAACAGCAGCACCACTGGAAGAAATGATATCTCTTCATATAACAAAAAGCAATCAGATGGATGTGTTTTGGGGTGTAGGTGCACGTGTGCACTATTTACTTATTTATTTAAGTCACTTAGCTATATACCAAAAACTACTCCAGGGTTATGAGGAGCTTACAGATATTCTTTAACTAAAAATTTTTACTCCTTTAACAAAATGGTATTAAGTGCCTATTTATAACTTATCAGAAGAAAGGCTTCCATCTGACTTTCCATGCTCCCTGCTCTCGGACCAGCAATGTCAGAGACAACTCCCTGAAAGGCAGAAACACGGAAAAGTGATTATGCAGCAGGTTGATGTTACTGCTGTGGTTTCTTTGATTCGTTGGAACAACTTTCATTAGAAGGCCCATTTCCCTTCCTTCCTCCTAATTTGCTCCAACCTTCCCACTGTGTATCTGATAACTAGCTAAGAGACATTTACTGGTAAATGCCAAAACAGCCCCATAACAACCTCTACAAACAAAGAATTACAAATGCTCTCTCTTTAAAGAGGTTTAACGTTACAAAAGCCCGTTCCATACCAAAAAAAAAAAAAAGCTTTCAAATCATTATATAGGAGAAAAATAAGAAACCTAAATAGAACTATAAAAGTGGTCCATCTACAAGGGAAAATCAGTTGATAAAGTTTTTTTTGCAACCTCAGTTTCTCCCAAGAGGAAACCAGCTGATAAAGGTTTCCAGTTTTTTTCTGAGTAATTATTAAAATTTACTTTTATTTATTACAAATTAATTACTGGCATAACTCTTGTCCCCACTCCACACCCAACCCTCAATCCATAGGAGTGCTGTGGTATACTTTGAAGCTATATTTAATTTCTGAAATTTTAGTGCTTAAACTTATCAGTTACAATTTATCCTAGGGTTGCCCCTACAAGATTTTTAATAAAAAGTATTAAAATTATCATTTTCTAAAAAATACTCGTATACATTAAAATAGTACAACCCCAAATTTTAGTCTTTTAAAAATAATTATGATACTTTTGTTACAAGAAAAACCCTCTTTAGACTTGAGAATGCAAAATGTTCTAAGTATCTATTTACATTTGTAAATTTAATCACCTCTTGGTTCACATTTTCCTTTTTACTATTTCCTATAACATGGGTTGATTAACAAGTTAATAATTTCAGGAAATATCCCCAAAGCAAATAGTTATGCTGAAAAGACCAAATGTTCTTATTTGAGATGCATTTTAGACAGTTTTCAAAATTAAAATATAGCCAAAAACCTGTATTCTAACACTATTTCTGGTACTGGTCTCATTAAATCTCCCAAGTTCCTTTGTTCCCTCCAGCCATTCTCCCCCTTCCCCCGTTTTTTTCTCTAAGGATATTTCCACTGATGTTCACCCTGAGTGTTGTGCATAATAACTAAGAAAACATAAAAAGCTACATTAAAGCTTAATTTCCTATTATACACACTTAGGGCTCATCAAAACAATCCAACTGCATGGCAAAACAACAATAACAAAAAATCCAACAGCCACCACCAAAACAAACAGATTCCCCTGCCCTATGGCAGCTTATAATATATATCAAAATCCATATGACACATATAAAGTTTTCCTTTCTGTTTTCTTCCAACTAATAACTAACATTTTGTACAGCATCCTACAATTTGTAAAGCACTTTCCCAATTACATTATTTGCTCCATCTTCCTAATAGCACATTTAAAAATTTGGGAGCAGAGGGAAAAGGGTTAGGGAGGCTACTACTCCCCTAATTCAGCATCTCATTGCTTATTTCACAAGTCCTCTAACAGGCCTCACCAACCCCATCACCCGCCCAATCCACTCATAGACGGCAATCCTCTGGCAGCCAGAACTGAGCCACTTGCCCTCTCCTACCAGCTAATAATGTCAAATCAGGCTGGCGACCATGACATTCTTATCTTCCCAGTCTCCCTTCCCTCTATTCCTTTTCACTGCCTACTCAGAACCACACAGCTCAAAGTTCCTATGCATGTTTCTCTGCCTTTGTTAACCTGGAGATATAAAATACCCTTCACTTCAGCTCCACGTGTCTAACACACCCCAGCTTTTGAAGCCTAACTCACATGGACTCCTGCATGACACCTTCCCTGAAGCTCCTAACTTGATGGCATCCAGCCTGCTGCAAAGTCACACACCACTGCCTCCCACACTACTCACTGCTCTATGGTGTTACCAGTGGCACCTGATTCACCTACAAAACCAAAGGAGAAGAACCTAATCTCATGCAGCTCTACAGTGCCAGGGCACCCTAACAGGCTGTCTCACACAGGCTAGGTCCTCAAAAACTACTCACTGAAGGAATAAATCATGAATGAAAAATGACTTGGTCAATTTGAAAAAAGTATTTCATCTAAAGAGATGACAGACTTCAACATTTTATTTTTATTTTTATTTTTTTTGTCTTTTTTCGTGTCCGGCAACGGATCGCAACCCTCAGTGTCGCGCCCGTACCGGACCGGGACCGGCAACGGGATCGCAACCCTCGGTGTTGCTCCCACACCTCACTCAGCCAGTGAGCGGGAACCGGTCTGTATGTGGGATCTGAACCCTCGGCGGGAGCGCCACCGCAATCGCAAGCGGCGCACTGTAGCAGTGCGCCACCGGGCCGGCCCCAGACTTCAACATTTTAATCGAGGCCAAATTAATTTTGTTTTCTAACTTTCTTGGCCCACTTTTCAATTTTTTTACTCAATTTAGACCAATTTAAATTTAAAATGCAAGCATACCTCGTTCTATTGCACTTTGCTTTATTGTGCTTCTCAGATACTGTTTTTTTTTTTCCTTTTTGTCTTTTTTACTGACTGGTAACGGGAATGCAACCCTCGGTGTCGTGCCCGTACCTCACTCAGCCAGTGAGCGGGAACCGGTCTCCACATGGGATCTGAACCCTCGGCGGGAGCGCCGCCCTGCTCCCAAACCCGCCACTCCCCCCAGCGCCCCCCGGCCGGCCCCACC